TGAATCTGCTCCTACTGACACCTTTTCCTCTACCCCTCTCACCCACCTTCTTCAGACAACTTCAATTGGACATGTTATATCCTTCCTTTCCAATGCTCTGTTTTCATGTGTGGCTTTCAATGGACTCTTGCCAGACAGGCTGGACTTTCCTCCCCGAGTTACTTCCATGATTTCCCATTTTGTTCACTGTCAGTATCCACCATTGCTAGTTATCATGTGGCCTTGTCAACCACTTTCTATTGCACGAGATTTCATCATGTCTTTACTTCTCTGGTTCTCACCCTACTGTTTCATTCCTTCTGCCTTTGCTGTCCCCGTGTTCTATAGCCCTCTCTTATTGGACCCTCAGTGTCATCCTCCATGCCTTCACACTTTATTCATTTTAGCCTATGTCATCTGTCCTTAAAGGTTTTTTTCCTTCTTCTATTGGCATTTGGATGTCAGTGTTCAGAATTGTTTGCTCTTAATGCTTCTCACTCATTATATCACAAGACTTGTGTCATCTCCTACCTGGGTCAGTCTTTCCAGCCCAAAACATTGGCCTTGCATGAGGACAATTTTGCCTTGACTCCCATTTCCTTTCCTTCCATTTCTCACCTTTATCATCAGTCCGATTCGTATCGCCTCTTATGTTCTATTTGGGCACTCCACTCTTACATGGCTTGCACTGCTCCCTTCCATGGTTCCCAGTCACATGTGTTTATTCTTTCCTGTTACTCTTATTGATTTGATTCACCCACTTATTTGGCTAGCTTATTCTTCCCTGTCTTCTGATGACTGTCATCTATTCCAAATCTCCTATCAAATTTATCAGCTTGCTAATGTCCCTGGCTACCCAATTTCATTGTCCATTTGAGAATTTAGTTCATGCTTGTATTTGGACCATTCTCCATACATTTATTTCACATTACTTTCATCATCTGGCTGTTTTGGGCTTTATAAGTACTGTGTACCTCCTTTTGCCATTTTGAGCTCCACTGTTTCTTTATGAGCAGGTAAGTATTCTTTTTCTAAATTTTTTTAAAGGACCTTTCTCGTTTGTATGGATCTTAATCAGTGGCGAGTGTTGCCTGACCAGGTATACTTATTCTTAAACCCACATTGTATGACTATTCAAGTCAATAATGTACACTTGTAGCTTTTTCCTCACGGTGTTTTGCATCATAAACATGTTTGCCTCAGACCATACACTCATGGACTAACATAAGTAAAGCAGAAGGGAATTGCTGCCCAGCCTTGCTGCTCCCTTGTTTGACTGAATTAGGAGTGGTCTGCTTTTCAAAGTAGGGTTTCACGGTCACTCATTACACTGTCTCCAGTGCTGCGTTCCTCCAGACTCTCCTTCACATTCACATCCCCCCCCCCTCCTTCTAGTGGAGTATGAGAGTCCTTACCACTTATCAGCTCCTAGTCACTAGGGTGGTGGACATAGAGGCATCCTCCTGAGTATCCTCAATTCCACTCAGTTGAGAGTAGGGTGGTGGTGTAGATGGTATATAGACACTCCTCCAACCACAGACATGATATACTATTCCACATGCCACTTGGTTTTGGACTGGATAATATCTGCCAAAATGCAGTTAACCCCATCTGGCTGAGCACCCTCCTTCCTACTATCACCAGGAGGTCAGTTCCTGGGGTGTACTGGTGTAGATTGGAACTGGACCAGTCACATAATCTTCACATATGAGTGACCCAGGTACCCTCCTCCTACCACGGACTGGATATTTAATTTCCAATGCCACGTGGTTCACTGGAGTTGAACCACAACATTGCTGTCCACCTTCCAACTGTTGCTTGGATGTCGGCTCCTGGGGGTACATGTGTTTGTTCTGTTGGATATGCACACATAATGATGAGTGTCCTTGGAATGGAAGATCTGGAACTCCCCCTCACAGTCCACTGAGCCCTAGCCACTCTACATCTGGGGGTCCTTCCTATGATTCTGCCTTTCTTGCAACACATCATTTTCATGGGCAAAGAATATAACTGACTCAGAAGTGGTGTGTCTTACATACATGGGCTTCTTTTGGGTGCTTTTTTGAAGGAAGCTCATCTAGGTATTGTTCTCCACCAGGTCAGTGTGGGATTCTAGCAATTTTGTGAGAAGAGGTAAGATATTGTATCAGGAGTTAACATTTTCTTACACTGAAAATGTATTTCTGATAGATTCTTACATCCGCTCACACTTCCCACCCTTCCTCCCCACTTCTGGTGTCTTTTCTTTTTATTTTGCTCAATCTCAAAGTGAAGTTACATTAAGTTACATAGAGGGGGCCAGCTGTGCTAGGAATTATGTAGCACTCCTATTGGTGGAGGGTTGCTACATGCTCATTTACATACTATCATGTAGCTGCCTCATGCAAAAATAGTATCAAGGCTAGTATTGAGCGCATATAGAAGGCGGTACAAGTCGGGAAAAGCTATTTTGTGAGAAGAGGAAAGAATCTTTCAGAAATACATTTTCATTGTAAGAAAATGTTAACTTTGGAATATTTTATTCTAGTGACTGACATATTTTGTGTGTTCTAAGATGCATGTTCAAAGACTACATGAATTACTGTTTGGACACTCAAATTTGTAATACTTGGTAAAAGTTGGGGAAGAAGTGCTTCGATTTTTACTTGAGTGCGAACAAGCTTGGGTATGCAGAGAGAATTACAAATCTTTGTTTTTTATGTAGATTTTTTTTGTATTTATTGCTATATATTTTTCAAGAAAAACTAATCAGTTGAGCCTAAAAAAGTTGTGCTATTAGTGGTATTTGCTAAGTGATTAATCTACATGCTATTTTCTGTTACATAATACAGAGTGCATGAAGCAGTTAATGGCTCCCACTGTGACTTATTGTTTTGTGACCCATGGTTTATAGCAAAAGTGCTGCAAGAAAATAAATGTGAAAAGTTAGCAGCTGAAACTGTTAAGATAACTGAACAGTACTTAGTTTAGACAAAAACATGGTTTTGCTCAATTCATATTTTTCAGTTGTAAATTGATGATTTCCCTACAGGTCTGAGTGTCAAGTATGCTGTTAGTATTAAGGTAGAAAGAATGAAAGAAAGAATTTAGGAGGTTCTGGAGGTTATGCAAATAAAATATTAAAACTGTAAAATGGAAAGAGGTAATTTTTATTCTTGGCATGGAAATCACCTTTCACTCAGACTAACTCAGTAAAAGCTTCATAAATTTACAGCGAAGTCTCTAGCAGAAATACTTTATTAAAAAATATGATTTTTTGTGTACAACAGACTTTTTATGTTTACTACAAGTTTGCCAAATTTTGTGAATATACACATTATATTCAATAGTTACAGTATGTAAAGCTTCTCAGACATGAGTTCGGTCCAATGCACTGATCCCACTCTTAAAGGTTTAATAGTTTTAAAAAATCAAACTCTCTTTTTTTGTTGTTGTTTAACCTAAGGATTAGACATAATTAATCATTCACAAAAATATGACATTACTTTGTAATAATCACTAAGTACTCAATTTTTATTTTTAGGTGTAGACAGAGATAACCTGCAGAAATCAAGTGTCTGTAAAGGAAACTCAAAGATAAACAATCAATACACTGAAGACAAAAAGGAAACTACTAGAGAAAAAACTGTAATTGTAGATGATGATGGATTTGATATTTTTGAGGAGCTTCAGGGTGAACAACATCCAACCTTCAGTAAAATGTCAGATATAAAGAAGTATGTGTGAAGTTAGCATATACATATTAATAATTCATCATTTCTGGAGTGAATGAGTGAGTGTGTGCATGTGTGTAATATAATGCATGTTAAACTGGGATTATGAAAAAGGGGGATCTTTTGTTTGTGATCCACCTTGCAGTAGCAACAGGCATAAGTTATAAAAGTTGGCAATTCAAATTTCACTTTCTGTGGAAATTATATTCCATACAACAACTTGTTTTATTATTTCTTTCAACTTTTACAGTTATTTGAAATTGGCTTTTTTTTGGGAGGAGGGGGTTAAAATGAGTACTCATGGATCAATTTGAAATGGATTTTTTTTTAAATACCAGATCCCACTGGTAGTTTGGATATTATGGCAGTTTCTCATACTCTTCAGTAATATGAAATATAATCAAGATTTTGAGAAAAATGCCTTCACTTGAAACAGTTGATCATTAGATTTGTTTATAGACTGACTACAGTTTCTATGTTGAAAAAAAATGTCCAGACTTTTTTAGGTAATTCTCAACAGATTGCCTTCCTTTCTGGAATATTCTAATCAATCCTTAGAATGGAGGTGTGACAATTAATTTTATAATTTGTGTTTTTTTAATATGCTCCCTGTATATATCTAATTCACAGCTAACACTTCCTTCCTTGTGTTTGAAGCTTCCTAAACTTGAAACAAATATGAGGAATGAGTTACAGGTTTGTTAAGTATGAAATAAATATAATTTGCTATAGCTTAAAAAACCTAGTGGAGTCTTCCACTGTAAGTTCTGAGGTTTATATGCTCTCAACTTTAATATTATAGACTTACAATTCCAAATAATGACATTATTACCTTTTCTGATATTTATGTTACTGTTATTGCTAAGATTATTACAAGCATTCCAATGCTCTTTACTAGTATTATGTGATCGTGATGTCATAATTAAGTGGTCAGGCCAAAACTATTAACGTGAATTTTCATTTGGATCACAAGGTCAGTCAAGTGGGAAAAAAATTCATGTACATAGATATGCATATTTAGGAAGTATGCTCTCCCATAAACTGCAACCTACAGCTATGGGATGCATTTGAATTTTCTTTACATGTAATCACCTTCCTATTCAAGACTTCTGCAGTATTTGTAGTAAAAGTAGTGTTGGTAGATTAAAGATAATTACATTTTTTGCAACTAGTATTTTTATCCCCATTTACTCAGGAAGAAAGAGGGACTGTTTGATGATACTGAGGTCACAGAGCCAGAGTTGTTTGGTTATACAAAATCCAAGAGTGCATACTCAAGAAAGACATTAGAGTACCAACCAACTGTTGAATCCAAATCCCCAGCTGGAGAGTCAGCAGAGGAGAGTAAATCAGGTATATTTATTATAACCATTGTGCATATTTTAAGATAATAAATTTATAACTTCAAAGTAATTATCACCGAGATATCAGTTATAAATGTGCTTTCAAGATAATTTAATGTGTTTAGCATTTTTTCAGTTTGGCACCTTTTATATTTACCATAGTAGCAGACAGCCTTTACAAACATGTATTATATACACGATTTTTTTAATGAATATCAATTCGAATTTTTGTTTTTTTCCCAGAGATCTTAGAATTTTTATTTTTCTTTTGCAAAATATTTCCTTTTATATGCAGTTTTAACCCTTTTGATACTCCTGTCATGTTCTTTATACAGGGTTGCATTTAAAATATAATTAAACTACTTTATTGTCAATGTATGACAATAAACTTGAAATCAATATGACATCAAATTTTAATATTATAAAAGTTTTAGTTTCTTAATTTCAAAAGGAAATATTTAAATATATTATCAGCCTTCACTGTATCACTTTACATTTATTCACTCTGATTTGCACATTTGAGTTAATCTTTCCATCTCTATTTATACTTCTGAGTTTTATTGCAAATTACAAAGTTATGTTATAGATATTGTTAAGATATAACTTAACTTTATAGCCTCCAATCATCTAGTTTTACTTGAATTTGCTGATGATATTAAGGTATTGGGTGTTGCTAGCTGTGAAGAGGATGCTACTGCTTTACAAAAGGATTTAGATCATCTAGTGAGTTGGGTAAATAAATGACAGATGGGTTTTGATTATAATAAATGTAAGATAATGCATACGGTTTATCATAATTTGAATTATAAGTATAATTTGGATAGGAATAACCTAAACAGTGTCATGAAAAAAAAGAGATCTTAGTGTAATAGTTGATCAGTCTCTTAAGTCATCCAAGCAGTGTGGTAGGGCAAATGGGATTTTAGGTTGTATGTACAGAAATATTGAATACAAGTCTAAAGATATTGTTGCGTCAGCGAGGTCACGGGACTAGTATCACGCCACTTCTTTCTCGAACCTTCGTGAATTGTCGGGAGATTACTAGATTGGGAGTAGTCTGGTATATATAAGATGGTCACAACATGACGGAACAATGTGTAGGTAGTGAGCAATTGAACTGCAGTCAGAGAGTATTGTTGAAGTTGAGCACATGAGACGTTCGTTGTTATAGCACGACTGTTGAAATTAAGTGTATCACAAAGTTATATTCAGAAAGAATAGACCAGTTTTATTTATGAAAAGACTTGTGTCGCTAAAGTTTCGTCGGAACGAAGCTGAAATTAAGTGTATCGCAAAGTTATGTTCAGAAAGAATAAACCACTTTTATTTATGAAAGGACTTGTGTCGCTAAAGTTTTGTCGGAACGAAGTTACGGAAAATTAACTAACGAACAGAGACGTAACAATATTATAATTTCATTGTATAGGTCGCTGGTTAGGCCACATTTGGAGTCTTGGGTTCCTTTTTCAAAAATTAAGTTTTTAATAGTTTTAACTTATTTTAGAGGTTGAGACAGCTGAGATGGACCAACAGGTTCCTTGTTGTCCCTAACTAAACATTATGTTATCTTAGTTAATATGAACCAGACAGTCCAACCCTCATGCCACAGTATCCCTATCAATAATTCTTTTTGACTTTTTCTATTAAATTATTCAAAACCAATAGAAAGAGATGATTTTAATTTACTGATTTATGTATAATGCTAGCTCATTCTCTTGACAGCTTTTGAATTATTCAGCATACAGATTCAAAGTTGTTGTTATAAAGTTTAGTTCAATCAGCTAAAGGAATTATTTTAACACACTTGTTGCTTAACTATAAATCCAGTGAAGTTGTAATAGTTTTAGGATTGTATTCCTTGTGAATGTTATTATTTTGTGTTATGAATTGAATATTTGAAATAAATACAAATTCTGTAAAGTAGTAACAAGAACCCTAGCAAATAGTAGGGCTAACATTTATTGTGTTTTTGACTGCAAAAAGAAATACAAAACATCCATATAAGTTATAGATTTATTGTGTTTTATGCATACTTTTTATTTATTGTTATAAAAGTAACTAAAATGTAAAAATTAGATACTTAATAGGTTAGATAAGAAAATGTAAATGAAAAAGATTAAATAAAGATTTCTCCACAAGGTATTCATGCAAAAAGTTTGTGCATTATGTAATTCAATACTGTAACTTGAACTATACATTTGCCAAGAGATGTTTAGCTTGTTACATGGGTTTAGTAGTTAGACACAGTTCCAAGAGTAATAAAACAATAAAATTAAATGAAAATAGGTGGGAACTGTTATGAGCTTGAGACAGTTTAAGATAGATAGTTGTAAATTTCTCTTACAATATACAGACATTTTAGAAAGATAAAAAGGGTGACTTAGATTTCTTTCTTTTATTTTTTTGGTGGTTACAAGGCTACTTAAATGGACTGAGCTTTTATAGTGTTTGGGTAGAGAAATTATCTAATAAAATATAAAGCTTTACTGAAAAAATTTTGATATTCATTAAGAGATTCTAGAAGCTATGAAATTGAATTAAAATAACTCTAAGGTAAAAAAAAGTATTTTTAATCTTAATGTGAAAATAAACTTGCACTCAGACTAGTGTTATTCAGACTGTGACTCCATAAATTCACAGATTAATTGCTAGCCTTGTTTATTAAAATCTTGCCAAATATCTTGAAGATACACTTACTACATTAAAAGTTGCAGTATGTGTAGTTTCATGGTTATTTTGTGATTGCAAGGTTGGTCCAGTTTTTTTGTATAAATCTGTTTGATATGTTTTGTATCTTACCCTTTTTTTTTTAGATGTTTTTAAATATTTGGTAAGCTGGCTGTGTTTCAATTATTGTTTTTCATGTTTTTTTGTTTTTTTCTTTCAGCAACAAGCTCACTGCCAGGGGAAGAAAATACAGATGAGTGGCTCTTCACAGTTCCAAACACTCACAGTGATTTCTTGTTTACCTCTGATGACATAGATCCTAAGAAAGAAGAAGAGAATGAGGAAGAAATGACTGAATTACTGAAGTGAGTCTATTTCGATTGCATTATCTAATTTAGAATTGCATATTTGTTGGTGCTACCATGTTTTTGATACATTGACTGAATGTTATTGTATGCCTCACAGTTTCAATCCATCTGTATTTCAACAGTTTACATGTTTTCAGCTTGCCATAAAGAATAGTTTGATTGTATTTTTTGGTTTACACCAATGCTTGTTTTGAACATTATTTTTCAGCAGGTATTTATTATTTCTGAAACTTCTTCAAACTCTTATATAAAAGAGAAGCAGTACAAATATTTTCTTCAACAAATTAAACACATGCAAGTGTTTCTATCATTGTGTGACTGTACGATTTGTCAGGAGTAGTGTTTGCATTTACCGTATTTTTCGGTGTATAATACGCACTTTTTTTACCCCAAAATTTGATGTCAAAATCTGCTTGCATCCTATACATCAAAGGTATGAATAATATATATATATATATACGATAAACAGAAGCCATGTGTAAATATATTTAAATAGGCATGCATAATTTAGTTCAATTGAATATGTTATTTATGACAATAGTTGTTTTTTCTTTTGAAATTAACTATTTATAATGCTCCCTAAATAATAAAACAATAAATTACAGTGAAAGCAATGACTATTTTGTAGGTTTTGAACCAAACTAAATAACAGTAAACCTTTTTTTGATTTACAGTGTTTTCTTATTTTGATGTTTTGAGCTCTTTTGTGTTTAGAACAATATATACTAATTTTTAAAGTATCAAATTGAATTTTTGTTCAATAAAAATCTTCAAATGTGACTGTAGCTTTTTTTCCCCAAAAACTTTGTCTTCAAAATAAGAGTGCGTCTTATATTCCGAAAAATACGGTAATCTTTTACAATTTCATCAGTATGAATTGGTGCATTGTCTTCCTGAAACAGACCACCTTCATTTAGAAATAATGTATTCGACATAAATTGATCTTGGTCTGTAATAAAGTTTAAGCAATCAGTTGGTGTCACTTTACCTTTCAGTGAGATCATAAGTCCTAAACTATTCCTATAACAAGTTGCTCGTACCATCACATAGTCTCCAACATGCTTAACGGATGGCATAAAACATTCAAGAATGTAAGCTCCTTTTGGTTTTCACCACACATAATTACGTCAATTGATGAGGAAAGTGTAAAAGATCATGCCGACTTGTTGAAGAAAGTGTAAAAGATCTGGGGAACCATGTGCTGAGAAAGTTTGAGAACCCATGATCTAACCTTTTTTCTTGCAAGAACGGAACGAACAAGATTTACCCAGGTTAGAATGCTGACTTTAAATTGAAATCAATATTTTGAAAAGAATATACATAAAAAAAGTTTCAAGTGACTACAAAGTCAATTATATAGTTTTTAATTTTCACATACTAGCTTAGGTAGATAGATGTTATCAACTTGCTCTAGTTTCTATGCAAATGTTGGACAAAATAATGGAAACACTTCATCGTTTCTAGCTCGAACCTTTGGTATCTCTAACAAGCGAAAATGTTGCCGTAAAGTAATTTAATTGTGAATAAAAATGTTCTATTTCATTGATTTTTCTTGTGTACAAATGATATATATATATTTACAGAGAAAGGTTATAAAAATATCAGGCTGAAAAGGTCTGTCAGATTTCCCAAGAGTAATGATTGTAAATGAATGTCTAGCTGAGTTCTGCGTGACAGGTACATCAAAAATATTAGATGTCAAAAATTATATCATCGAGAAAAAATATCACAGCAGACAAAAATAATAGTGGTAGGTTGACAGCTCATGACATACGAGCATTAACATGAGTAGTGAGACGAAATCAAAAGACTGTAAAGTCAAAAGGGTGCGCAGAACTTGACGTTAGCCTACAACAACCAACCTCTGTCAAAACAACTCGAAGGCAACTGAGCAAGATGAGTTAACCCTGGTGACCTGTTATCAGAAACTTTTAAAAACATAAAAAAATGGTGTAAAATGTTGCCAAAAACATAAAAATCGGGTCGAAGATCTGTTGAAAATTATGTTTTAATCAAATGAATGATCTTTTACACTTTCCTCAATAAGTCGGTATGATCTTTTACACTTTCCTCAATAAGTCGGTATGGGGGGCTGCAGGAAAGGTCCTTAGCAGATACACGAAATACATAATACTGTTAAGGTCCTTTCTGTCTGTAGATTCATTAGGTGAGAGGGGGGATTAGTCAGGGTGTGCTCTTAGATTTTGTATGTGTGTGTATTTTCACCACTAATGTGCAAAATCCCAAACTATTTCGTATATATATATATATATGTATATACTTAATGAGTGAACTCTGTAATTATATGGAGTCAGGGAACTAACACGTGAATATCCTACTTACAAACTACTGGATGTGCTGGAAAGTATTTTACAACATTTTCTTGTTTATTCGGTCTGTCCATGATTAAGTATAGTATTCGTTTATAACGGTAGAGGGCGCGATAGAGCCAAACTTTACGTGGAATAAATTATAAAAGCCGTGTTTCTCAGGTTTTCGATACCACGAACCGTTAAAATAAAGAAAAACAATTGCGATTTACTTGAATATTCTGTACGTTTTCTGCTGTTGTTTCTTTTCGTGAAATCCCATGTATTGGCAAGGAGACTGAGACAAACCGACGTCGTCCATGCAGGGCTTGTTGAGAAACGCTGCAGTGTAGAGTTTCTGAAGTTCGAAATGAAGTTGGGATATACTATTTAGATAAGCTCATTAAATGTAGAAGAACCCCAGGGCTAAATATTATGTTGTTTTTTTATGTTCCGCAAAAATTTTAATGAAAATAATATCATTTTTGAGTTTTTTGGAAGGGCTGCAGTGGATACTTCCCATAAATGAAAATTTTAATGTATCTGTTGTAATATCGTAATGGCAATCAAAATATGTTGTTGTTGTTGTGTTTCTGTTTACTGGTAAAAGTCCTTATTTAATGAAATATCCAAATAAACAAGATGCAATAGAAAAGCAAAATCACATCTAATTCCAAAATAATAATTTTTGCTACGAGTCTTTTGCAACAATTATATATTAAATTTTATAATTTCGGCGTATCCCCTAAATATGGAAGAAAAGTTTCACTAAGCTCTTTGAAGCAAGTTCACTAAACCTACTTGTCAATTGAACACTTTATTTACCATAACACATTCATATAAACACACAAATATATATACAGTCACACATGCCTATTTATATACTAATATATACACAAATTTATACATATGTTTATATATATATATATATGTATATGTAATTAAAATATAAGTATAGAAATAAATAAAATGGCATAACCGGTCAACATTAGCTTCTCTACTGAGAGAACAGGAAGATAGAAAAAAAAAACAAGAGGGAATTCTCAATAGCCGCGACTGTAATTAGATTTCAAATCGGGTAAGAGATGGAGCTATGAGATAAAAGTTTCTACTTGAAAAATAAACTCAGAGCCATTCTATGAGCCGCTATGCCGCGGCTAAAAATGAAAATTAATATTTTTTAGAACTGAGAGAGGAGTTGTCAGTTTTAACCTGTAATCTTTTAATATGCAATGATACTAATAAACCTAGAAATATACGTATAATTCATGAAAAATATATGCAGTGAAGTTACAGTGTAAATAATGTTAATTCAGTTTTCAAAGGCTATTTAGAAGGCAGTGATATAAAATATCAAAGCTAAAGTTTATGCAACTCGGATCAATAATAAATCAGTTTGTGATAGTTAAGTAAGGATCTTATTTTTACTTCTGTAAATGTTTCATGTAATCGAAACTATCTTTATTTATTTGTAGTTAAGCACAAAGCTATACAAGGGGCTATCTGCGCTGTGCCCAGAACGCAAACATATACATGCAACGTTGGTTAAACAGCTAATCGTATTCCATTCTTATAACTTGGCAATACATGCTTTATTTAATGAATTTGTCTTGACAACTGATGGTTTTTCACAAATGATAAACAAAGAATAAAAGGTCTGTACTGTTGATCCGTTTCTTCGCCTTGCCTGATCCATTGTAGCACATGACTAGCGCCAGGTATCTCGGTTGGACAACGGTATAATCCGTGGTTCGATACCCCGTGGTGTACATGACAGATAACCCAATGTGACTGTTTTTTCTATAAAAGAAACAAAAAACTAGCGCCACATATACACATACATATATGTTCCCCCAGTTTAAGCTGTGAACGTTATAAGAGAGACAGTCAATTTCTAAAACGAGGTTGGTGGGTGGTAGGGTGCTGCTGATCGGATACCTTCCCTCTAGCTAATAATTCAAAATTAACGACAGCAGTAGATAGCCCTTAGTAGCTTTACTATAAAATACAAACATACCTGTGTGTGTGTTTAACCGATTTCTTTTAGATGCTGCAGATGTAATATCTGGACGACCAATAATAATTATGTAACATTTGTACACTTTTAAGTCTATCTGTTGCATAGAATATAGTTTTGTGTATTTGTAAAGGTTCGTGTCTTTAATCCAATCGTGAATCGTGTGCGTCTTATAAACGAAACGTGAGTTCTTTAGTTATTATTTTTACATGTTTCATTATGAATTTCATAAATATCTGCAATATCAGGGTAGATATATGTAATAAACCTGTCTGATAAAATTATTTAACTCATGCCGCTTGTTATTGACTTTCGTGAGCTTAAAATAAAAGGAACCTCTACATATAACTGTGAATAATAATACAAATAAAACTTTAGTACCTAAGGTATATATAACGTTGAAGAAAACAAAGTCTTTTGGAAATAAAATACGCTGATAGTACACCAAAAGTTAACGTACAAAAATTTATTACAACAAGTATGATAGCTGATACTATACTCGACTAGTTATGAAAGAAGTAATATCTTTACTTTGCGCAGCGATGTACAGAAAGTTAGCTACACACACAAGGATTTTATATATATATATATATATTTGTTTTCATTGTTATCAGCTGAAAAGCTTTAAGTTTGCATAGGGAATTGTTTGATTAGTTTTCAGTTTTCTCTAC